CCATTCAGAGACCTTGGCAATCGGGCTCTTACTCAACTTTCCATCCTTATCCTTGGCCATTATCCCTCAAATAGGCATCATCATTTCCATCTGTCAAGTAGTTATGCCCATTCTTGTCTGTCTTTGGCCCACTGTTCCCTCTGCCTCTAACTTCCTTTCCCTGCTCCTGGCAAAATCCTATGCATCCATCAAGACTAAACTCATCTCCTCTATAGCCCGTCCCTCTACCAGCTGATGTAAAAAATGAATTGTCCAGCCCCTCTGTTCACCTGTCACATTTCAATTCCTCTAGTTCGCCTTTATCGGGTTTTTAGTCTATTTTTCCCTTGGAGGATTGTTAAGTTTCCCGAGACCAATGATTATTTCTTATAATTTTGTATACCCAATATCTCTAGTACCTTGCCTGGAGCAAAAGTCCATTTTCTGGAAAGACATTCTGGAAAGATAGCAGGTCTTTTTGTCTTTTATTTTAAATGAAGTTTTAAAAGCTATTTTCAAAAAGTTTCTAAATGACTTTTTGTTGTTGTTGTTCAAACCCAAATTTTGAAGATTGGATCTTAGCCCCTATACTAAAATTCAGAAAAATTCCACACTTGGTCTTACAATTGATTTTCTTCTCTTTTAATCTTTCCTATGAAGGTATATGTGCTTAGATATGTTTTTGCTTGCAGTCATTTTTGACAGGGTCTTTTGCTCTTTGTAAATCCCCATTGTGAGTTACATAAACAAAATATTCCCCTCTCACTGGTATATTGACAGAAATAAATCACGGGCAAAGCAGACTCAAGTGATAATCTGAATTTTGAAAGGGTTTCTATTATCAGGATGCTAAAAAGTATATGATAAGTCATGATAATCATGATCATTAAAATAGGGTATTTAACATATAACTTGTTTGATTCAAGTAAAAGCAATGTCCCAGTTGATCTACAAATTAGGTGTACACATAGCTAGGTCAACAAATACATCACTCAGGTGAGTAGCATTTCTATGACAAATCCCCACTCTTTAAAAAATTTTTTATATGTTTTATTTATTTCTGAGAGAGAGAGAGAGAGAGACAGCGTGAGCAGGGGCAGGGGTCAGAGAGGGAGGGAGTTACAGAACCTGAAACAGGCTCCAGGCTCTGAGCTAGCTGTCAGCACAGAGCCCGACGCGGGGCTTGAACCCTTGAACCGTGAGATCATGACCTCAGCCGAAGTCGGATGCTTAACTGACTGAGCCACCCAGCTACCTCAACAAGTCTCCACTCTTATACATTCTCAAGTCAGGGAGAATGGTCAGGGTAGAAGCCCATTCTCAAGGGGCGGAGGATGCCCAATATGCGTGAAGATCTAAATGCAATGTGGATACCTTCCCTGGGCCCTACTCATTGGAGGTGGAGTTTATACTCCGACTTTTCACACAGCTCCAAGTCCTACCTGAGGACCGCTCCCTGGAGTCACCCTTTGGTCACATGGCCAGTGCTCCAGTATCTAGAGGTCCCTGTGAGCAGCCAAACCAGAGGATAACCTTTCCTCTCAGGCAGCTTCCATGCTGTGGTCATAGGCTAATAACATAAAAATATCATTAAACATGATTAACAAAGTAAGGGAGGTTTATGAATATGAGTATGAAAAACAGAAGCATAAGATCGAGGCTGAAGTGGCCCACAAAAGAGAGAAAAAGTAAAGCATGTGCTGAGGGCAAAGCAAAATCTACCCCTTACAGGTTATGACATGAGGATCATCACCATTGATCACAATTGTATTTCCCCAAGACTGAGACACCAATAGCTATCTCTGCACCTTATGATCTTGTCCCAAAGGTTTGCTGTCCTTTGTCCACCGAGAAGGAATGAGCCTAGTGACCCCATGGCATGGGGGTTTGTAATAGGGGAGGACATTCATCTTGAAAAAAGGAAAAAGGGGAGAATGGGACACTTCACAGTGTCTGCCCTGTGAGTGATGTGCAATGATGTAAGGTGATAGATGGATATCATTAAGTAAGATTAAATCTCATAGTGAGAAAGTTATTTCCAAAAGTCTCAATTATCTTTAGATGAGACAAAGCTTAGTGTCAAGTTGGTGCTACCAGGACTTTAACACCTCTTAACACCTGCAAGTTTCTTTTTTTAGCAAAGAGAAAGCAGACCTCAGGCTTAGAGCCTTGGCCAGGCTATGGTATGCAACTGGATTTACAATACCATTGGTCTGTGTCTGATGTATTTATTTTTTTTTTAATTTTTTACAAATTGTCAACTTGGTTTCCATATAACACCCAGTGCTCATCCCAACAAGTGCCTTCCTCCATGCACATCTCCCCCCTCCCCCCCCACACACCCATCAGTCCTCAGTTTGTTCTCAACATTCAAGAGTCTCTCATGGTTTGCCTCTCACCCTTTCCTCCACCATTTTCCCCCTTCTTCTCCCGCATGGTCCTCTGTTAAGTTCCTCCTAATCCTTCTATATGTGCAATCATATGGCGTTTGTCTTTCTCTGCCTGACTTATTTCGCTCAACATAACACCCTCAAGGTCCATCCATGTTGCTACACATGGCCAGATTTCATTGTTTCTCATTGCCATGTAGTATTCCATGGTATAGATAAACCACATCTTCTTGATNCATGGTATAGATAAACCACATCTTCTTGATCCATTCGTCTGTTGATGGACACTTAGGCTCTTTCCATGATTTGGCTATTGTGGAGAGTGCTGCTTTGAACATTGGGGTACATGTGCTCCTATGCATCAGCACTCCTGTATCCCTTGGGTAAATTCCTAGCAGTGCTATTGCTGGGTCATAGGGGAGTTCTATTGTTATTTTCCTGAGGAACCTCCACACTGTTTTCCAGAGGGGCTGCACCAGTTTACATTCCTATGTGTCTGATGTATTTAATTTTACAGTTATTACCTGCTCATTCTCTATTCATTATAGTCATAAGGTCTTTGTTTTAGAATACATTATGTAACATGAAAAAGTAAGTCAGTTTAATGTAAAATACAAAGTAAATAATAGTATAGGCTTGCATAATTATGGGAAAAATCAGAAAGGATGAATGAAGTTTGGGAAACAATGTAATTACCAGAAAATGAGACATGAGACTAGAAGTCTTGGAATAAAAATCCCATCTCTGCTACTTCACCAGTCCTCTGATTCTGAGCAAATGCATAACCTCTCTGAACCTCAGTTTTCTCAGCTATGAAATGAGAGTAAAGATAACACTGCTACACAACATGGTGGTTGGCCAATAAGCCAAGCCTAGGGGATGAGGCTGGGTAAATCAGTGGCCTGGTGCTCATTACCAATTAATTTACTTGTCCACAACAGTAGTTGTACACTATATGGTATCTGATCATATCTGCCTTGGCCAAGAAGACTATAAGCTCCCTGATGGCAGCAACTATGCCTTACTGACTACTGCACGACTCTGTGTCTGGGGCTATCCCCTCACTGTAGTACAGGTTTTATGAACATTTTTCAGTTAAGTCAAGTTAACTGCTTGGATGGAATTATCTATTTGTCTTGACAACCCAACAAAGACCCTTGAGGTCAAAAGTTGTCTACTGTGTCACATACGATTATTAGTGTAGTGAATTCTCAGTAAAGACTCACTGGTTGATAGTATATGCATCCCATGTCTGAACTGCTGACATCTAACTCGTCTCTTCCCTCCCCTCGTGCTGCCCCCCATCCATTGTCCACATGACAGGCAAGTGCTCTTTCTAATAGTCTCCCACCAAAACCCCACCCGGGATAGAATTGAAATTCTGAATACAACACACAAAGTCCTTTATTACCTCTCTCTTATTTCTAGCTTTGGTTTCACCCTCAGCAGCCCCTCTTTCCAGCCAAACTGAACAATTTTCACATATTTGGATGAGCTGTGTGGTCCCATCTCAGGAACTTTGCATCTGCTCTTCCTTTCGCTCGAATGTTCTTTTATTTCCTACCTCTGTACTGGGCTAGGTTCCACTCATCCCTCTAGCTGTCTGTCACCTCCTAGAGAAGGCCATCCTGTCCTCTTCTGCCCTGGGGCTGCATGTCCCTCACAAGAGAATGTGGTCTCGTCCCTGTGGTCTATGCCACTGCGTAGAAAAGGCTGGTTTTTCCAATCTGTCTCCACCATAGATTGTGATCCTTTGGGACAGTGGTTCTCAAACACAGCAGCAGAATTACACCTACAAGGTGATCAACTAGGTCTAAGGTAGGGCCCCAAATTAGGATTTCTAACAAGCAGTGGTTCTCAAACCAGGCTGCCTATCAGGAACCCCAGGAAGATGATTCCAAAATTTCTACTGCCCAGACTCTACTCCTAGACTGACTGAATCAGAGCCTTTTGGTGGGAGGAGCTGGGGAAAGGGGAGCATTAGTGTGTTTAGCTTCCCGGATGATTGCAGGGTTTATAATTCTGGCTTTCGGATTCTTCTCAGAGTCGAATGTGCACCTGTGGAGATGCTGTTACAAACAAGTAGGTCTGTGGTACAGCTAAGAGTCTGCATTTCTTAAGTCAGGCAGAGAAGGACAAATACCATATGTTTGCACGTATAGGAGGATTAGGAGGAACTTGACGGAGGAACAAGGGGGAGAAGAAGGGGGGAAATGGTGGGGGAAAGGGAGAGAGGCAAACCATGAGAGACTCTTGAATGCTGAGAACAAACTGAGGACTGATGGGTGTGGGGGGAAGGGGGGAGATGGGCATAGAGGAGGGCACTTGTTGGGATGAGCACTGGGTGTTATATGGAAAACAACTTGACAATAAACTATTTGTAAAAAAAGAAAAAAAAGAGTCTACATTTCTAACATGCCCCCAGGTGATGCTGACAGTGCTGCTCAGGGAGCACACCTTGAGCGGAGTGTTGGAGTAAGAGCTGACCCTTATGCATCACTAGCAGCTTCTGCCATATTGCTACAAAAAGCCATTAATGTCATTAAATGAACACCTGTCGTGCTACTGAGCCAGGAGCACCTATATGGAGTTGACATTGTCAGTAACAGATGTTTCCTCGGTGACTTTCAGGTCAGGCATCAGATTTGAATCTCCTGTTTGTGGTCTCCCTGCTCACACACAGCACCTCAGGCGTCCAGTGGGTCTTGTGTGTCTGGCAACAGTAGGCCACGTTCCAGTGTTCACTTTCTGCTGCGCTGGTGGCTGACTGTCTCACTGTGATGACCTCTTCAAAGAAAAGTTTACACAGGTTGTACAGTGTCCAATCTAGTCAAATTTGCCTCCAAATTTGGTAAAAGTCTGTATAGCTGTTTCGCATGATATGGTTTTTTAGAAGTCAGAAATGTAATTTTATGCCTAGATGGTATGCTCAGAGCCTGGTAAAGCTCCTGACATGGTGTTGGTGAGCAGTGAATTTTTGGAAGGAAGGAAATAAGGAAGAAAGGGAGGCAGGTAGTCAGGGAAAGGTAGGGGAGAAGGGGGTGGAAGGAAGGGCAGCAAAGAGAAAGAAAAGGGTGGGGAGGCTAAAAGGGGCAAATTTTGTCCTAGTTTCCCTTAATCTCCAGTAGCCCTGCTGAATCCCACCCTTACCAGCATCTCCTTCTACCAAGATTTTTGTTTGTTTTCCTCATCTGACTACAATCATGGGCACCCCTGGCATGGCAGCCTTATCCAGCCCAGAGTCCATGCAGTGTCCAGACACAAGAGCCTGGAAGATCCCCTCCTCCAGCCACTGGCCTCCTTCATAACCTTGGGGGTGCAGATCGGGACTGGGGTACATACTGGGCCAACTTGGTCTCATCCAACTCCATGTGTATTATGAAGCTGAACTTCTTAAAAATTAGAATAATTGGAAGGTTATCCTCTAAGAGATAATCCAACCAGGTAGGCCATCGGCCAATAGCATTTGAAAATGTTGAAATTAGTTACCAACTTTTCTTTTCTTTATGTCTCTCTCTCTCTCTTTCTTTCTTTCTTTCTTTCTTTCTTTCTTTCTTTCTTTCTTTCTTTCTTCCTTCCTTCCTTCCTTCCTTCCTTCCTTCCTTTCTTCCTTTCTTCCTTTCTTCCTTTCTTCCTTTCTTCCTTTCTTCCTTTCTTCCTTCCTTCCTTCCTTCCTTCCTTCCTTCCTTCCTTCCTTCCTTCCTTTTTTCTTTCATTCTTCCTTTCTCTCTTTTTTTTAGAGAGAGAGAGAGAGAACATGAGCAGGGGAGGGACAGAGGGGGAGGGAGAGCAGGTGAGGAACCCAAGCAGGTTCCACACCCAGTGCAGAGCCCTATGCAGGGCTCCATCTCATGACCATGAAATAATGACCTGAGCCAAATTCAAAACCGAATGTTTAACCAACTGAGCCACCCAGGTACCCCCATTACCAATAATTCAAATGCAAGATGTTTTCCACAACAATTTAGATTTCCAGTTTCTTTCTAAAACTGGAAGACCTGACACCGTGGGGTCGGCTTTGGTTGGATCTGAGTGGAGCTGCCCCCTTCAGCAAGGCCTGTGTTCTTTTTTTTTTAGTTTGCCACAATCCGCACCCCTCCTTATCATCCCCCAATACTAAAGCCAAACATAGATTGTTATTTGTTATCTTTATCTCATTTTACTTGAAATACATCTGCCTTTAACTTGACCTTTTTTTTTTTTGTTTGTTTTTTGTTTTTTATTCATTTTTATTTTTCTTTTATTTTTTTATTTTTTTATTTTTTTTTTTACAAATAGTTTATTGTCAAATTAGTTTCTACATAACACTCAGTGCTCATCCCCAAAGTGCCCTCCTTCATGCCCATCCCCCCCTCCCCCCCACATCCATCAGTCCTCAGTTTTTGTCAGCATTCAAGAGTCTCTCATGGTTTGCCTCTCTCCCTTTCCCCCACCATTTCCGCCCTTCTTCTCCCCCTTGGTCCTCCGTCAAGTTCCTCCTAATCCTCCTATACGTGCAAACATATGGTATTTGTCCTTCTCTGCCTGACTTATTTCGCTCAGCATAACACCCTCAAGGTCCATCCATGTTGCTACACATGGCCAGATTTCATTGTTTCTCATTGCCATGTAGTATTCCATGGTATAGATAAACCACATCTTCTTGATCCATTCATCTGTTGATGGACACTTAGGCTCTTTCCATGTTTTAGCTATTGTGGAGAGTGCTGCTATGAACATTGGGGTACATGTGCTCCTATGCCTCAGCATTTCTGTATCCCTTGGGTAAATTCCTAGCAGTGCTATTGCTGGGTCATAAGGGAGTTCTATTGTTAGTTTCCTGAGGAACCTCCACACTGTTTTCCAGAGGGGCTGTACCAGTTTACATTCCCACCAACAGTGTAGGAGGGTGCCCGTTTCTCCACATCCTCGCCAGCATCTAGAGTTCTCTGATTTGCTCATTTTAGCCACTCTGACTGGCGTGAGGTGGTATCTCAGTGTGGTTTTGATTTGTATTTCCCTGATGAGGAGGGATGCTGAGCATCGTTTCATGTGTCTGTTGGCCATCTGGATGTCCTCTTTGGAGAAGTGTCTGTTCATGTCTTCTGCCCATTTCTTCACTGGGTTGTTTGTTTTTCGGGCGTGGAGTTTGGTGAGTTCCTTATAGATTCTGGATATTAACCCTTTATCTGATATGTCATTTGCAACTATCTTTTCCCATTCCGTTGGTTGCCTATTAATTTTCTGGGTTGTTTCCTTTGCTGTGCAGAAGCTTTTAATCTTGATGAGGTCCCAACAGTTTATTTTTGCTCTCGATTCCCTTGCTTTTGGGGATGTGTAACTTGACCTTTTTCATTTGCTACTTTTGCCTGCCAGCCCCCGAGAACCCTGAGTGTACGACCTTCAGGCACCCATGCAGAGCAAATGGCCTCCCGTACAGTGTGCTCATCGTTTTTTCTTAGAACCAGAACTTGCACTGTCATTTGCTTCTGATAATTCACGTCCAAAGCGAAGTAAGGAAGAAAACTCTCCCTGAACTAACCCTGATTCCCCCGATATGGCTTTTATGCCTGTCCTTTTTCCTGGGTACAGGCATTAGCACTTGCTAATTGCTGCTCTCATTATCTCTTGGGCTCTTTGCCTCTCCACACAGAATTTGCCCACAAGGTAAACCTGTTGCCCTCCCAAGAGATAATAATACTTATCAGGACCTTTTGTAGAGTTCCTGGACCTTTTGGGATGGAAGCACACTTTGCGCACATAAAGCCCTCCATTACCACCACTGCTGTTGTCATTATTATTATTCGGGATTAGGAAGCCCTCTCAGAAGCCTTGCCAACCTCAGGCAGGTGCCACCTCACAGCCTCACCTGGCCCGGCGCAGTGACTCGGGCCGGACGCACCTGGCCACAGGACTCTCGTTCAGCCTGCTGAGTCTGGGGATTTTGCCAGAGCAAAGACCTGCCCTGAAACATTCACGCCTCCCTTGCTCAGAGGACAAAGTCTGAGGCTCAGAGAGGGTGGGGGTGAGCAGAGTCCTTCCCAGGGAACTCAGTCTCTGGGCCACACTACTAGAGGACTATTGTCACAGCAAGCCTCGAAGCAGGCGGAGCCTGAGAGGCCAGATTCTCTCTCTAGAAAGAAAGGGACATACGGTATAGTTTGGGGTCAGAAGCTGGACTCCCATCCCAATGGCCACTATAAGTGTGTGAGCCTCAGACAACAGAGTGAACTTTGCAATCTCTGATTCTCGTGTGTGGGTAATAATCCCCAACTTTACGATAATATTATGAGATTTAGATGTAAATACAATTGAAAGTACATCTGCAATATATATAAATATGTATTTATTTGTAAATGTCTATAAGTGTTGGGTATGCAGTAAGCCCTCTATTAACAGACAAAGACAGGGCTCCTTCCCTATTCAGGCTTACAGAACCACCCAGAAGTTGACTGCTTTAGCAGCAGATCCAGAGTAAACAGACAAGATGCCCCCAGGAAGCAGTGGTGAATAGAAACATCTCACCAAGAAAACAGTCTCCACTCAACAGCATTCCTACCTTATCATTCTCTACCTCTCACTGACCCCCAACCAAATAGCTTCCAAGAAAACATGAGCCTTTCCCTCTTTGATACTCAGCCTGTCTCTCAGGTATGTGCCTGAGACAACTTTTTCCCCAGCAAAGGGGCTGGGTTGGGGACATCAACACTGCTCTCTAATCCTTTTATTTATCCTTATCCACCTGACTTCCAAAAATTTCCCAGAAACCAAACTCACATCAGCTTAATAGAAGAATGTGTTGAATCAGTGATTCAAAGGAAGAGCTGACCATGTGACAAGCCAAGGTGGAGATGAGTCTCAAGGGACACTGGAAGCATAGAATGGAATGCTGTCAGGACCTTCTCTCCATTTCTCATTTCTCCTTCTCTCCACCCATCGGCCTCATTCTTTGTTGCTGCAGAACAGCAGGGAAGATGGCTACAGCAGGTGTATGGTTTTTCAGTCATTAGGGAGGCAGTCATTAGAGAGAGACTGGCTTATATCCTTTCTGATAGCAAATTTTAAAATCCCAAGGAAAAGCTGTGAGTGGCCAGCTCGAGTCAAGAGCTCACTCCTGGACTAATCAGCATTGGTCGGTGTTTGAAAAAGAGACATCAAGCTCAAAATGGAGTCCCTTATGCTGAGCCCTATGTCACCAAACTGAGACTTACTATCTAACTTGATTACAGTTTCGGCTTCCTCCAGGAGTGGAATCTCAAACCAGTAAATCTGGGATTACCCAGTCAGTTCTAGCAAAGTAATATGCCTGATAGACCCCTGCCATGCGTTCAAGGAAGGTGACCTTGCCGCAAATAGTCAACTCCTTGCTAGTATAACTTTCTTGTCCTGACTCCTTTTGCCTATAAAAGTCTTGCATCTTGAATAGCTCTTTAAAGTTCCTTTCTATCTGCTAGATGCGATGCTGCACATTTCATGAGTCATTGAATAAAGTCAATAAGATCTTTAAAATGTATTCAATTGAATTTTGTTCTTTTAACACCAGTGAGGGCAGAACATTGTGATGAGTGCAGTTTGGTCAGCGACCCTTCTCCAGACCAACCAATTGTGTTCCTCAGAATGCTGAGCTTAGGTTAAAATACAGAAGGTCCTGTCATCATCATGTGGTAGAAGGGAAGAAAAGACAATTGTTAGCACAAGGGAAATCCCTGTTACAAAATGCTAGAAGGGAATTAAGTTCTCTCTTTGTGAACCTTTCTAGGTTGCCAGACTTTGAGCTTCTCCAGGACAGAAATGAATGCTAGTGCATCTATGAATCGTGGCCATGACAAACACCTGGGAAAAGTTTGTAGAACTGAACTTGAAATGCATCTGACAACTTTTAAAGCTGCATGTCCATCTTAGGTCCTATGTGTCCATAGAAGAACGAAAAGTAGCTGCAGAAATAAAGATCCTATTCTGTCTAAAGAATTTTCTAACAAATAGAATTGCCTGAAGATGTAAGCAGGGGTCTCAGGAAGTTGAGTGTCCCTTTTAGGGGAAGACTTAGGGCCCAAGCAAATGATCACGTGTCAGGGAAATTGAGAAAGATATTTATGTACTGACCTAGATGCCTTCCCAAATGTTATTACGATACTTTGATTCTGTGAACTCAACCACAGGAGACAAAGTCACTGTACCTAAACCAGGCATCCCAAAGCACCATGGCAAGGAGAAATAACCACAGCAATACAGCCAAAGCTCCTGCTGGCCATATCTAAACACACACCTTGATGTGACCCTAGCCTTTCCTGTCCTAGGGGTGCTGGCCACTGAAGATGAATTAAAGCACACCCTTACCTCCACAGCAGTACCTTCCTGTTTGCAGACCGAAATATGCCCAACTTGGAATCTCCTAATTGTTTCATCCTAAGATATAAGACATCATTTAACCACATCCAGTGTACAATCAATAAACTAAAACTGTAAGCTATTTGAACATCGTTTCTTTCTTTCTTTTTTTTTTTTTTTTTTTTTGACATAAAGCTTTGTTCGTTTTGTTTTGGTGAGAACATTTAAGTTCCTACTCCTAGTAAATTTCAGGTACACAATACAGTGTTATCTGCTACAGTCTCCATGTTACACGTTAGATCCTTAGACCGTATTTATCTTATAACTGAAAGTTTGTACCCTTTAACAACCTCTCCCTATTCCTTTCATCCCTCAGCCCCTCGCAACCACTAATCTACTCTCTCTTTCTATGAGTTTAACGTTCTTTTTAAAAAATTTTTAGATTCCACATATAAGTGGCACCACGCAATAGTTGTCTTTCTTTACCTGACTTACTTCGTTTAACATCACACCCTCCAGGTTCACTTATGTTGTCACAAATTGTGGGATTTCCCTCGTTTTCATGGCTGTATAACATTCCATTGTATACACATTCCACATCTCTATCATGCATTCATTCATTACTGGACACTTACATTGTTAGCGTATGTTGGCCATTGTGAATAATACGTAGTGAACATGGGATTACAGGTATCTCTTTGCTATCCCCTTTTCATTTCCTTTGAGTATATACCCAAAAGTCAAATTGCTGCATCATAGGGTAGTTCTACTTTTAATTTCTTGGATAAACTCCATAGTGTTTTCCAGATTGGCTGTCCCAGTTTGCATTCTCACCCGCGGTGCACGGGGGTTCCCTTTTCTCCTTATCCTTGCCAACATTTATTATTCCTTGTCTTTTTGATACCAGCCATCCTAACCAGTGCTAAGGGATATCTCACTGTGGTTTTGATTTGTATTCCCATGATGATTAGTGATGCTGGCCATTTGTATGTCTTTTTTGGAGAAATGTCTGTTCAGGTCCTATCGTCCCTTTTCATTGGGTTATTTGGTTTTTGTTTTGAGTTGTAGGAGTTTCAACATTATTTCTTATCTTTTTTAAATCCATCTCTGATAAATTGGCATCTTGATTTTTATAAACATTTTCAATGTCTTATTTTCCTCACACAAAGTTCTATTTGAGAGATTTCCTTGAAAGGGATTTTCCTTGCTCTTAGAGCCACAACAACAACAATTAGGTGCAAGCAAGCTTTTGGAGGTGATAAATATGGTATTACCTTGACTGTGATGGTGGTTTCACAAATCTATGCACATGTTCAAACTAAACAAATTGTGCTATTAAATATATGCAGCTTTAAATATGTCACTTATATACCTAGAAAGCTATTTTAAAAAATAAAAAAAAAATCACCAGCCATTTTATAGTAAAATGTGATAAATGAGACCAGAATCACCTCCATCATGAGGTCCCCCTGAGAAACCCTGGGCAGGTACACGAAAGAAGGGCATGTTGGATATCTTGCCAGAGGCAGGGGCTATCAGTTCTCAGGGAGGAGCTGTAGTGACGTACTGGAGCCAGACCATACTAGCTTCTGAAAGCTAATTGTTAAATTTGCAGGAATTGCATGAGCCCATTGTTAAACCATCGGTGTCCTGAAATCAGGCTTGATGAATTGACAAGTGCCACCAGTTAGGCTTCCCGGACCCCTACGCTACTTTCACCCCAGCTTTACGAGCACACCGCTGATTAGCTGCAATGTATCACTGACTTTTTGCAAATGATAAGACTGATTCTGACACCGATACTTAGCTCCACCATGTAATTCCTCTCGTGATTCCATAGGGGAAATGAAGAAAAGAGCCACCTACTTTAAGGCTATAATAATTTTTCTCTTGAACCCCTGCGCACACTAGATAGGAATGTAAATTAGTGCAGCCACTATGGAAAATAGTACAGGGTTTCCTCAAAAATCAAAAACAGGGGCCCCTAGGTGGCTCAGTCGGTTAAGCATCCGACTTCAGCTCAGGTCATGATCTCACGGTTCGTGGGTGCAAGCCCCGCGTCAGGCTCTGTGCTGACAGCTAGCTCAGAGCCTGGAGCCTGTTTCAGATTCTGTAACTCCCTCTGTCTCTGACCCTCCCCTGCTCATGCTGTCTTTCCCTCTCTCAGAAATAAATAAAACATTAAAAAAGAAAAATTTAAAAAAATTAAAAACAGAATTACCATATGATCCAGCAATCCCACTTCTGGGTATGTATCCAAAGAAAACAAAAACAGAATATCAAAAAAGATATCTGCACTCCCATGTTTTTTGGCAACATTGTTCATAAAGCCAAAACATGGAAACAACTTAAATGTCCATCCAAAATAAACCCATAAAAAAGGAAATCCTGTCTGCCTTTTGCAGTAACATGGATGAAATTTGTGGGCATTTTGCTAAGTTAAGTCAGAGAAAGACAAATACTGTATTTCTCACTTATTTGTGAAAGAGAAACTGAGACTAGAATGTTGGTTACCAGGGCCAGCGGTGAGGGGCAGGAGGTTGGTAGTGATGGGAAGATGTTGGTCAAAGAGTACAAACTTTCAGTTAGAAGATGAGTAAGTTTTGTTTATCTGAGGCATAACATCTTAATAGTTAACAATACTGTGTTATATACTTGAAAGTTGCTAAGAGAGTAGATCTTAAATGTTCTTACCACAAAAAAGAAATGGTAATTTTGTGACATGAAAGAGATGTTATCTGATCCTACGGTGGTGACAGTGATAATCATATTGCAATATATGTGTATCAAATCAACAAGTTGTATTCCTTAAACTCATACAATGTTATATGTAAGTTATATCTCAATAAACCTGGAAAAAAATTAAAATAATTGTAATGTTCTTACATTCCTAAGATTTGCTGGAAAAAAAAAGCTTTAAAAAAGGCAAAGTCTTAGCATTAGTGGAAAGACAGAGTTGATATATGAAGTTGGACATGTTATTTAACTCATGTGAGCCTCAGCTAATGTAAATGGATATTTCTGGGGTGTTTAAGAAAGAAAAAAGTATGAAAAATGGCATATAGCAGTCAATCAATATTTCGACTTTGAAAGGTACAACTTCTTGGGTGCCTTTTCCATGTCACACCAATGAATACTCCCTATATTTTAATAGAAACAATAAAATCAAAAGGAAGACTTTCAGAAGTAGCTATATGATCTCCTCTGGCACATATTTATGTAGCTTCTCCTCACCCTCCAGTGAAAAAATAATTCTGATCACATTTCACAAATGCAATTCCTCAAGCAATCTGTTGTTTGGGAAAATCCAGATTAAATGAACATGCCGGCGGCCTTGACTTAAAGGTGTTTGAAGAGTTAACACTCTGACTGTGTGCTGATGTTTCGGAGATGGGACATGGGATTTTCTGATGGCCCTTCTAGCTGTGCTGATAGAAACCCAGAAGTGAGTGGAAATCCAAGCCAGCTCTCGTGAGAATTCTGTCTCTTTCTCACCACACAGAGTCTACAATGCGAAAGACCTTCAAGATGGTGGGATCTTAAAGCCCATCTGCTACATAAGCCGCAGACATACGAGAGACATGTTGAGACTATTATTAGAGAAATTTTTATTCTTTAAAATTCATCAAGGTAATAAGAGGCCTTTAGGGACCTAGAGAATGGGGCATTCTCATAGCCTAGGATTTCACTTCAGATTCCTTGCTGGTCACAACATTATCAAACATTCAAAGCATGCAGGAGCCTTGTAGTAAAGCTCTCTGGTGGGCTTTAGCAACGTGGACTTACGCAGCCAGGGCTGCAGTTCAGGGGCTTGAGTGGCCGTCTATCTCAACTCAAGGCTCTGCAAGAGGTTCCCTAGAACTTGCACATGAACTGGCAAAAAAGATAAAAAAGGATCAAAGCCGAATACAGTTCAGAATTAAATAGCATCACATATAGGAAGGATATATCACAATGCGGAGCGTGTCCAAAGTACTTATCATGAGAGATCGACTGCTTTTTGGTTGGGTTGAGGTTGGAGTTGACGTTGCCTTTAATCTTGGTATAGGTAAAATATTTGAAATCCTTTTGGCATCTCTCAAATCACAATCACATGTTGGATGTCAACCCACTAAGTTAGACCTGACACCAACTCTCCAACTAGATTATGAATTTCTTTAGCAATAAGACCTACATCCTAAAGTTCCTTTATCCTCACAGCATCTAGCTCTGTACTCTACACATACAAAATGCTTGGTAAATACTTAACTTCTCTGATTTGTTAAAAAATGCAGCCAGATTTTCAAAGTCCTTTGCAGGTGGTTTTGTGAATCATAGAGAGAGCAGAAGGGTCTCGGGAGCCAGAAGTTCAAGATGTCTCTGACTCTTTAAACTGCTTGGGACATTTATTTAATTGTGGTCTACCTAAGAAGCCTCCATCTGTGCATATCTCTATACCACTGGTTTCGAGTGAAATTCGAAAGAAGTAACAGGGCTGCCCTCTTGAACACCCTCATTGAAGTTCTTTACTTCAACCTCAAACTCTCACAGATTGTTCTATCTAGAGAGATAGTACAGTAGAGACGTTTTCCATAGGCTGATAGAGACAATGTATAAAGTTGCCCGTTTATCCCATTAAAGTAATAATGACACAACTCTGAAAAACTTAGCTATCCACAGTCTTGTCCCAGTTGGTCCAATGTGGGTCTAAGTGTGATCACTTCCATGACATGTCAACTTAGCTTCTCCAGGATGAGAACACTCAAGCACTGCTCATTCCAGTTTCTCGTAAGTGCTGACAACCAGCCCAGAGCAAGTAAAAACTTCGGTTAAGTGTCACGCAAAGACAACAAAAGACCTGTTCGTGGCGCTAATGGACATGGGAAAGTAAGAGAGATGATCATGAAATTCTGGAAGATGAAATACTTAATGAGTGTTTCCTGGTTATAAGGTGTTGTTTATGCCATGTAAACGAGCCATCTCTTCCATACAGGGTGCCCGCAAGGTGTGCCCTGAGACGTGGTAATAATTGCAGGGTGGCTGGAGGCCAGAATCTCAACCTCAAGTAAGAGCCAAAATTATATCACCAAGCACCTATTAATCAGGATTAACCTCCAAGGATACCAACTCTGGAATCTGCTTCACAAATAAGCATCTTCATGTACACTT